GTTTACCTTCCTCCAAAGAGGTCTTTAAATATCTGCCTGCAACCTCCAATAATTGGGCTCCTTCTGGTTAGAGTAGGCAGCCCGCCCAGAGAGTGTTTGGGTCAGAGGGCAGGTGCACTTGTCACAACTTCCTCCCAGTGGTTTTATTCTCCCCTTGGCTTTGGTACCGACCTAGTGCCATCCTTATTTCCCTTGACTGAATCTGAACTGCAGCCCATGGTAGAAGCTGCAAGGACTGGGCAGAATTCCAGGTGCGAGGGGCAGAGAGAGAGGCATGAACAGAGCTCCTTTGGGCTTGTCAGATAAATGGAGCAGCAGCTCCTCTGGGGGCTAGTTCATCTCCTCCCCACCTCCTCCCGGGTGCACAGCGGGGACTTTTGATCTGCAGAGTGACTGATCAGTGGGAGAGGGGCCACGGTCCCTTCCTCCCTCTTCCTCCTCCGGCTCCCTCGGGCTCTGCTTCACTCCTCCCCCTCAGCTCCCTCCCTCTTTCCTGCTGGAAGCCCTGCCCCAAGGCGAGCCGCTCCAGTGGGAATCTGCCTGCCCGGGGGGCGCCGCTGGCGCTCGCAGCTTTGCCCTCGCTCGCTGGCCGCGCCGGTCCCAGGCTGTGTCCGCTCCCTAGCCTTCCCCGGTCGCAGATGCTGTGGGCGCCTCCCCCGGAGGCGCGCTCGCTGGGTAAGTTCTGGGGGACGCCGCGGCCCCGGGTAGGCTAGCGGGCTCGGATGGATCCCCTGCCCCCTTCGTGGCTGCTTCCCCTAGCGGAGGCAAAGGCGTGGGAGGACGGAGCGCCTGCCGCCTGCGACTTAGCGCTGAGGCCGCCCTCACCTCCCAGCCCTACCGGGGTCCTTTGACTCCCGGACCCGTCCATGCGGGCGTGGTCAGGCTGGGGACATCGCCGCTGCTGCGGGTGGCCCGCGAGCCTGGGCAGGTCCCAAAGCAGGGAAAGTGCGGGTGGCCTTCGCGGCAAAGGGCCCCAAGCCTGGCATCTGACATCTGGGGGGAGCAGGTAGGAATGCGCTAGTGGTCCAGGCCCCGTGGCTGGGCGATGCGCTACATACCTAGTCCCCCAGGTCGCCCTGAAGAGTCCCTGGGAAATGGTGTTTGTTGAGGACGGGGCCAGTGGGAAGGGAGGGAAAGGAGGCCGTGGGCAGATACTTGGATCTCCCCACACACCACTGCAGGCTTAGGGACTCCTCTTCTTAAGCCCCCGGTGGCCTGGCCAGCGGCAGGGTGGACGTGGGTTGCACACCCTCCGCACCTCCGGCACCCTCTGGAAGCATTGCTGACCTGTGCCAGACTACTTGGCTACATGCGAGCGAGACTGAGGCCACGGAGTCCCAGTTTCTGCCTCCCTCGCCTGAGGGAGGAGAGGGAGCCTTTGCCTTATTTTAGTGTCCGCCTCTGCTTCTCTAGGGCTCCCAGATCACCTCACCACCGCCTTAAAGCGTGCTTTACCTAGCGGGGTACTGCGGTTCTTCTTCCCTGAGACAAGGGGCCCAATGAAACTTACTTAAAGTGCTTTATCGGGGTTGTGGATAATTTGGTATCCATACCTATGTTTGGGAAAGCGGCTGGGGAAGCTCAGGGACAGGCAGGAGAGGGATGAGTGGTAAGAGGGTCCATGGAAGGAAAATCTGCACAATTTCTCGGGGTCCTCCGTGTCCTTCCCAGCAGCTAGTGTTTATTGTGATTATCAAGAATTTCAAGTGTCCCCAGCTCCCCCAATCTATTTACACACCCCTCTCTCTGAAATTCCTATGAAGAGTGTTTTCAAGGAGCATTGACATTATCATCCATGCCTTGAAGGAAGTTACTGTATTTGAGAACTAAAACTAATATTTAATATTTCAAATACAATTTTATAAAAAAAAAAAAAAAGAACACATTTAGGTAAAACACCACCACCGGCATTTAAATTTAGGTAGTTCTCTGATTCACCTTAAGCAGCGGTGAGCTTTTTTGGCAAGCTGTTGGACTGGGATTTAGAATTCCTGGGTTCTGTTTCTAATTTTATAGATGCTTGTACTTTAGGCAAGTCAGCATTTTTCCGGGTTGAGGAATATCCTCATCTATAAAATGACTCTGATTTCAAAGATTTTTTTGTCCAGTGTTCATGCTGGCTTTTGCTTCAATGAAATATTAACCTAATTAATAAATGTTTGTTAAATGAATGACGGAATGCGTACACCATATCTCTCTAGGAACTATGTATATCTGATCTTTGAAAATACGTAGAAACAAATGCCCCTTGGTTGTGAAAGGATGCTTAATCATGGTCGCACTGCATTGCTCTGTTTGCATCTAATGATGCAATTGCAATAGAGTGTGAGGCCCCCTTCCCCCTTCGAGGACAACTCCTCTCAATGTTGCCCTTTTTCATAGAGAAGGGCAATTTGAGGCCCCAAGAAGGAAAAGGATCTTGCCTAAGACCAATCAAGAATTACAGAATGGTGAGGAGGATTTTGATATGTGCTTCAAAGCTCTTCCCCTAAGGAAAAGGAGGAGAAAAGGAAAAAGCCCTAGAAAAATTCCCAAGGTGACTGACAGAACTACAGAGCTACAGGTTGCCTTAGCGCCTAAGTTTATAAACTGTCCTGGAGCCCTTCTTGGGGAGGAAGAGCTTAAGCAGAACAATTCTAGGTTCTGAGCTTAATAGGGAAGAAGGAGGGGAGATGTGGGGAACTTTCCCTTCTCAGATGGCTTGGTTTACTTATGTGATCATCTCTCCGGAATTTGGTCCAGCAATGTCACCCTGTGTTGACTCCCTCTGCAGAAAGTTGGGACTGAAGACACAGGGAAATGCTTTGTGGGACAGGCACATGTCTGGGTCAATTCCCTTGTCCACTTTCTTTCATTCCTTCTTTTTTCCCTTGAGAGAGAGAGAGAGCCCTTGGCAATTCCTGACAACAGCAAACATTCACATGTTGCAAATGGACTGACTTCCATGGAGGACTCCTGAGTTCAGGGAACCTTAAAATAACAAAGAAGAAATGAAATGATGACGGCAAAACACAATGCCTGGCCATTAGTAATCCTATGGAAAGGTTATCTGAATTGCATTGAATGCCAGAGCTGGAAGGGCCCATACAGTCCACCCCTTTTGCCAATGGGGAATGGGAAGATTTAGAAATAAGTGACATACCTTGCAAAAGAGCTAGATTAGAACCCAGGTCTACTGGGTGTCAGGCAGGACTCCATCATCAAGCCTCTCTTTCTCAGGGGCCAATCTTCCTGCATTGTTGTCTTCTGTTCTCCTAGCTCCCTTGCCCCTGCCTACAGCCTGGAGGGCTTAGGCAGCCTTCTGGGGTCTCCCACTCCTAGCTGAGGCTCAGCCTGGCAGTGTCTTTCTAACACCCATTCCTCTTCTCTCTCTTTTAGGAAACACACACACATTTAAACTTCATTATTTGACTAAGTGTAAACCCCAGGAGGAGAAGGGTTTTGTTGTTTATCTCAGTCCATAAGCTAATGTTGAGTTGGCTTTCTGAATCCAGGCAAATATCTAGCCAGTCAGGACCCTGAAGGTGATTCTTTAAGCACAGAAACAAAGCTCTGTATGTAAAGCTTACACTCCTTGGGAGAACTCCTCATCCTCCTACACAGACACACTGCTGCATGCACACACCCCACCCTCGCATCAAGAGCATCTGAGCTAGGAGGCTGGCAGGCGGGCTCCAATCCTGGAGCAAAAGAAGCACATCTACACACAAGGGGATCGCGGTAGTGGAGAGAGACAGACCCCTGATCGGGCATCTGGAATGAGAGTCCCTGGAGTGGCCATGAGGGAGGGGCAAGTGGAGCAAACCCCTAGGAGGCTCCGTCCCTCCTTGTGCCCCTGCTGGAGAGCCCCTCTCCAGGAGCCTGGTTAACTGCTAGCAGCCCTCGGTTTGGAGGTGGAGTAGTTCAGGATAAACTGAGGAAACCCTGGTTTGAGCTTTGCAAAACCATTAGCTGGGAAGAGAAGCATTCGCCCCTCCCTCCCCCAGAGCGCGCTCTAGATCCTTCCCCCATCCCCTGCCCCCTCCCCCCGTGACGTCACCCTAGCCCTGTCCCAGGGAGCCCGCAAAGCCTCTCAAATTCAAACTGCTAAGCGCACCGCTGAGGCTGCCACCGGATTGGAAGCGCGCACCTAGGCTGGGCTGTCCTTGCCGCCAACCCGGCGGGCTCCCCACCACCCCTACGCAAGCGGGCCCGGGTCGGATCCGGCTCAGCTTTCCTTCACCCCAACCCTCCTCTTCCTCTCCTGCTGCCAGATTTCTTATTTCTGCTCACCCTCCCTCATCCACCCCCGGCCAAATTGAGTCAACCAACAGAAAGCAGGGCACCCTGCCCCCCCTTCCCTCCCTGGAAGCGGCGCCTCCTTTTACCTTGCTCTCCCTCTTTTCCTGAAGATGCTAAACTACTGGCGGACTGCAGAGGAGAGGAGTCCCTTCTTCTCCTGATGTGTGAGTAACCCCCACGCCACGCTATCTTTGCTCTGCTCTCCTTCCCCTCTCCCCTTGCCAGCCCCCAGATTTTCCAACCCCCTTTTTGCGCAGCTAAAAAAAAAAAAAAAAAAAAAAAAGTAAAGCAATTTCTGCTCAGAGCCCAGAATGGGCGAGCTGCTTGCCGGTATCTCTTAAATATGCACCAGGGGAGGAGGAGGTGGGGTGGATTTAGTAGGATAACTCGGTTACTAATAACTCCAGGGCTAACTGAAACCCGCAGGGAAATCAGGTGCAAGCACGTGTGTTGGAGGATGCGTGTGTGGGTGTGCTGGGAGCACAGCACAGGAGGGGAGGCCTGGAGAAAAAGAAAGCGCTTTGAAAAACGCAGTGATTTCATTATGCCATGCGGTCCACTCCCTGGACTCTCCTTCCCTTCCTCCCATCCTGCCCCCAGTTTTGCCATTTTAATCGGGATTCCTTGTTTCTTTCTTCCTGAACCCTGCTCTCTCCTGCTCCCTCCTCCCCCCAAGGTTTGCCTGTAGGTACCTGAGCTGACACCCAAGGTGCCTAAAGATGCTGAGCAGCGTTTGGTTCCTCAGTGTGTTAACGGTGGCCGGGTTCTTCCAGACAGAGAGTCGCAAAACTGCCAAAGACATTTGCAAGATCCGCTGCCTGTGCGAAGAGAAGGAAAACGTTCTGAATATTAACTGCGAAAACAAAGGATTTACTACCGTCAGCCTGCTCCAGCCTCCCCAGTATAGAATCTACCAGCTTTTCCTCAATGGAAACCTCCTGACAAGACTGTACCCGAATGAGTTTGTCAATTACTCCAATGCAGTGACTCTCCACCTGGGGAACAACGGGCTGCAGGAGATCCGAACTGGAGCCTTCAGTGGCCTGAAAACACTCAAGAGGCTACACCTCAACAACAACAAGCTCGAGGTGCTGAGGGAGGACACCTTCCTGGGCCTGGAAAGCCTTGAGTACCTCCAGGCTGACTATAATTACATCAGTGCCATTGAAGCGGGGGCATTCAGCAAACTGAATAAGCTCAAAGTGCTCATACTGAATGACAACCTTTTGCTGTCCCTGCCTAGCAATGTGTTCCGGTTTGTCCTGCTGACCCACTTAGACCTGAGAGGAAACAGGCTGAAAGTGATGCCTTTTGCCGGTGTCCTTGAACATATCGGAGGGATCATGGAGATTCAGCTGGAGGAAAACCCGTGGAACTGCACTTGTGACTTACTTCCTCTCAAGGCTTGGCTGGACACCATAACTGTGTTTGTGGGAGAGATCGTCTGCGAGACTCCCTTTCGGTTGCACGGGAAAGATGTGACTCAACTGACCAGGCAAGACCTCTGTCCCAGAAAAAATTCCGGTGATTCCAGTCAGAGGGGCAGCCACGCGGACACGCACATCCAAAGGCTGTCGCCTACAATGAATCCTGCTCTCAACCCAACCAGGGCTCCGAAAGCCAGCAGACCACCCAAAACGAGAAACCGTCCAACGCCCCGGGTCACTGTTTCAAAGGAACGGCAGAGCTTTGGGCCGATCATGGTGTACCAGACCAAGTCCCCGGTGCCCCTCACCTGCCCCAGTAGCTGTGTGTGCACTTCTCAGAGCTCGGACAATGGTTTAAATGTCAACTGCCAAGAAAGGAAGTTCACTAATATATCTGACCTGCAGCCCAAACCTACCAGTCCAAAGAAACTCTACCTAACAGGGAACTATCTTCAAACTGTCTATAAGAATGACCTCTTAGACTATAGTTCTTTGGATTTGTTACATTTAGGCAACAACAGGATTGCAGTCATTCAGGAAGGTGCTTTCACAAACTTGACCAGTTTACGCAGACTCTATCTAAATGGCAATTACCTTGAAGTGCTGTATCCTTCTATGTTTGATGGACTGCACAGCTTGCAGTATCTCTATTTAGAGTATAATGTCATTAAGGAAATTAAGCCGCTAACCTTTGATGCTTTGATTAACCTGCAGCTACTGTTTCTGAATAACAACTTGCTGAGGTCCTTGCCTGATAACATATTTGGGGGCACCGCCCTCACCAGGCTGAATCTGAGAAACAACCATTTTTCTCACCTGCCTGTGAAAGGGGTTCTGGATCAGCTTCCAGCTTTTATCCAGATAGATCTGCAAGAGAACCCTTGGGACTGCACTTGTGATATCATGGGGTTAAAGGACTGGACAGAGCATGCCAATTCCCCTGTCATCATCAATGAGGTGACCTGTGAGTCTCCTGCGAAGCATGCAGGGGAGATTCTGAAGTTTCTGGGGCGGGAGGCCATCTGTCCAGACAGTCCCAACTTGTCAGACAGAACTATTCTGTCAATGAATCACAATACAAACACACCTCGGTCGCTTAGTGTGTCTCCCAGCTCCTATCCTGAACTACACACCGAAGTCCCACTTTCTGTCTTAATCTTAGGATTGCTTGTTGTCTTTATTTTATCTGTCTGTTTTGGGGCTGGCTTATTCGTCTTTGTCCTGAAACGCCGAAAAGGGGTGCCAAGTGTTCCGAGGAATACAAACAACTTAGACGTAAGTTCTTTTCAGTTACAGTATGGGTCTTACAACAGTGAGACTCAAGATAAGACAGATGGCCATGTCTATAATTATATCCCCCCGCCTGTGGGGCAGATGTGCCAAAACCCCATCTACATGCAGAAGGAAGGGGACCCAGTGGCCTATTACCGAAACCTGCAAGAATTCAGCTACAGCAACCTGGAAGAGAAAAAAGATGAGCCAGCCACTGTTGCTTACACTATAAGTGCCACTGATTTGCTAGAGAAGCAGGCCACACCAAGGGAGCCTGAGCTGCTGTATCAGAATATTGCTGAGCGAGTCAAGGAACTCCCCAGTGCAGGACTAGTCCACTATAACTTTTGTACCTTACCTAAAAGGCAGTTCACCCCTGCATATGAATCTCGACGCCAAAACCAAGACAGAATCAATAAAACCGTTTTATATGGAACTCCCAGGAAATGCTTTGTGGGGCAGTCAAAACCTGACCACCCTTTACTGCAAGCTAAGCCACAATCAGAACCAGACTACCTCGAAGTTCTGGAAAAACAAACTGCAATTAGTCAGCTGTGAAGGGAAATCATTTATTACCTGAAGGCATCAAAGAATGTTACTCCAAACTGTTGGAAGCTGGGCATTTGTTTTCCGGTTGTGTTTTCCCTTTTCCCATTGTCAGTGGGGGACTTTGAAAATGTGTGGGGGGTGGGGTGAAGCAATGATACTGCTTTTTCAAGCTTTCCTTTAAATTATTTCTCTCTTACTGCTGTTCCTCTCCCCTCTTTCTTTCTCTTCTTAGGAATCATCATTGAACATGAATGTTTCTACAATGCATTTTTTCATATATTTTGTTTATCGTTTTGTTTCTCTTTGATTTTTTCCAGTGGGGGATGGGAAGAGGAGACTATAGTAAATGAAGAAAAAGTAAGCAAGCTTTTCAAATGAAATTAGCTACTTAGTGTATTTTGTAGAAGATCTCCAAAGATCTTTTAAGTCTATAAATTCTTCTGTAAATAATGACATATGGTATTTCCACCTTTAGTTACCAAGTATAGCCAATAGGCCTCACTTCTTTGTGTTAAAGTGCTTTTGCACTTTAAGTACATTACTTATATGTTGCTTTTAGCTTTGATGAGCTGAACATATTTTAATGTGTTGTATTTTTGAAATTAGAATACTGTAAAATAGATTAAAATGTCAGCTATATTAAGTCAATGTACAGTTTGCTTGAGTTATAGAAACCAGCCTGTCATCAAATGATTCTAGTTCTAGGACTTTATAGATTTAACTGTAAAATATTTCCTTTCCACTGGGTTTGTTCTAAGTGATTTTATTTAAGTCAACTAAGGGAATTTAACAGTGGACTAGAGGTAATAAACTGCCTCAGTCTGGATTAGTAATTCATTAATAAAATGTATTTAACCCAATATCAGAGTGAATTGAACAATTAATGCCCTTCTGTAAATCATTATTTTACATTAACATGGTCAGTGTTTTAGATTATTTTCCTAATTAAGAATACATTACACAACGTGTGATAATATTTTTTTCTGATTTAAATTAGATATTTTTGTATATTTCAATGATAGAGCCTGTATTTCTAACTTTTCAATTGAAATTAATATTTTTTTCTGCCTATTGAAACATTTTCTATAAACATACACCAGTAGAGGCCGCCACACACCTCATTTAATAAAGACATATGAGCCATTAAATACCTAGAAGGAAGACTTCAAAGGTGAGATTAAAACTTCCCAAGTAAATTCTCTATAAATTCAAGGCAGCAAAGACAAATGTAAGCATTACTTTCCTTTAGAATTAAAAGTTGGACTTGGAATTCTTCTCAATTTTCACATGTTCAGAGAAAGCAGTATTTTCCTCTTGAGTTCATTGAAGCATAGACCGGGTGCTATCAAATCATGTACTATTTGCACCTCCAAATATATTAATAAGTACCTAAGCCAAGAAAGTAAACATCTTTGTTTCTTCTGCCTTTTTTAGGCATGTGTTACTGGATTTTTTCCTTGTGGGTTTGAGCAAGTCTTTTGTTTTGATTTTAGCATTAAAGTGATTTTTAACTAACCAAGTATATAAAACATTTATGAAGCCTTATTAGCCTGTAAATAATTTTAGATGCAAACATTATTGTGTAATTTAAACAAACAGCCCTTCTTTGCAACAAAAATAGTTTTGTTTTGTCTCTTGTAAATCCTTATGCAACTGGGATAGTGAGCTGCATATAAAGTAGTCCAGCTTTTCAAATCCTTATTAAAGCAATTGATGGAGTCTGAAAGAAGCACACTGTTTCCTTTTCATAAATAGGTTACTGCACATAATAATCCTTTATTATCCCAGGAAGATTGAAGTGGAACCTAATAATTTACTTTTAAAGCTTTAAAATGACTATTAGTATATTGTCTGTCACTATAAACAATTCATGTAATAGGCTTTCAATTAGAAATTACTTAAATACAAATTATTTGGATTAATAATGACTGGTGCAGAATAGTTTTTAAACGATAGAAGGTAATTGGATATATATATATATATATATATATATATATATATATATATATATATATCATTCAGGAAAAACAATGCCTCTAACAACCTGGAACCTCTACATATCTACAGTAACAAGCTAACACGTTCATTCTTTGATTAGAGATCATAATTCCCATTTAAATTCATTAGATAAAAATTGAAAATGGTGGGCTGAAATGACTTAAGAGAAAGTTAATGTACAGAGATTTTACATTTCACAGAAGCTAGTTGAACTTTGAGACATCTCCTGGAAACCACTCTTCTTTGAGTGAAGTGTTTATATATATAAAAGTTGCAAAAATCCTCTTTTTACTGCTTTCATTTGGTACAAAGATAAATACAGAATACAGATGTAGGTAATTTGGGAAATGATTGTGAATGCAAATTAGTACATGTATTCCATTAAAATAGTTTTTAGATTTAAATGATATGACTAGAACTACTGATGTATGATTCTACTTCAGCATTTGTTTTTATTATCCTGAAAGTAAAGTCATTACTGTAAAATGCCATTATTCATAGAAAAACAAATTCATTAATTTTAAATAAAGATAGTTTAATATCCATTTAGTCACATGATTTTAAAAAGGCCTCCTGGAAGAATTCAGATTTATAATCTTTCTTAATAATTATGGTTTAATTCTAGATTCTCACACTTTTTAGATCTGTGCTTTATTTATATTAGTTTTAAGATGAAATCATTCGTAGTTGGCCCAGACTATTTTATTTAAAGGCATACCTGTGGCTAAGTTTGTATTCAAACACTGGAAAGTACGTCTTCTCAGTCTGGACACAATTGCCAAGACTCTAATTTGGTTCTATACTTTGGTCAATCTGTGTGCCTTTTTAGTTCACTCCAGCAGTTGGTGAGTAAGGAAATGACCCTTCAATTCCTTCTGCTTTGTCCTCTGACTTCTAAGATGATTTAATTTTCTAAGTATTTCTACATCAACAAAGACTCTATGTTTTATGGATTTTACTAAAGTCTATAAGGAACTAAAGAAAATATTGTGATTTAAAAAAAATATTTTTATTGATTTCAGAGAGGAAGGAAGAGGGAAGAGAGAGATAGAAACATCAATGATGAGAGATAATCATTGATCAACAACTGGCTCTTGCAAGCCCCCTACTGGGAACCCATCTGACAACCAGGGCATGTACTCTTGACCAGAATTGAACTTGGGACCCTTCAGTCTGCAGGCTGATGTTCTATCCACTGAGCCAAACTAGCTAGGGCGAGTTTTGTGATTTTTAAGATTCTGGAAATTCATTTTGACTTTAAACATTCCAGAAACATACCGGATTGTATGCTAAAGTGAAGAAAGCCTTCCAGACAATTCTAATCCAGTCATTTATTCATTCATTCAACGAATATTTATTAAGTGCTTGCTTCTTAGGTGCCAGGTTCTATGCTGCTTGCTGAGGGGGTACAGATATACAGTAAACAGGATCTCTGTCCCACCCCATCACTCCTATTCCCTGTAATGAGATTAGTGCTAATAAAGGATATGAATGGCAATCACTCATATTAAACAGAACAGTATTGAAATGCAGGAAGTTGCATATTTTAAAGGTGATTCTGTGCAATGAAGTATAAACAGTTACATCATAAATAAACCAGCTACATGGTAACTACCATTAACACTCTTGAGAGTTATATGGCTAAAAAGGAAAACAAAAAACAAAAAACAAAAAAATCACTAAAATAAAATAAAACAAATTTCTGCAGAAACAACAGAACCGAATATTGTGGCCTGAAGATAGCTATATACATGTGCTATCTAAAGATCTCCATTATAAAGATTAATCTCAAAAATATAAATACAAAATTATAAACCTAATCAAAATTTCTGGAATATCCATGTTTTAGAGTCAATATTTACATTATGTATCAGTGGCTTAGAAGATAACATTTTGGCTTAAGTGTCTTTTACTAATACAATACAAAGGCACTTATCTAAATCTTGAAAGAGAAAATTAAGTACTGTATATAGATGTACTTTGCTTCTCACTATTGTTATGAAAAAGTCACATGTAAATTGACGTTTTATAAATCAAATTTTAATTTAAATGCATTAGGGGAGCTGTCATTTAGAGAAAAACTTGTAAATTTTTATAAAGCAGAAACCCATTTTATAATACAAATAAGCAGTCACTCCTTAATTTAAGTTTTGTATATCTGGATTTTCAATATTAACTTTGCTTAAAACAGAGCCCGCTTGCACAATAATAGTGTGTTTTGCCAATGCTTCTTGTGCTACCAGTTTCTTGGTTGCTAAGGGCTTATACTTGAAAATCTGTTGCAGTTTTGTGTGAACTGAACTATCAAGCAAACGGTGAAAAAACAGTCCTAAACAATCTGAGTAACCAACCTATTTCAACACAATTGAACACAGAACTCTTCTGCTCAGCAGTGTCTCCTCTCAGATGTGGCTATGATTCATTAGAGGGTAGAGTGAGTCCTGTGTTCACATCCTATAAAGTTCATAGAGTCACAGATATTATAATAAATATGTTATTATGCAAACATATTTAATTACATGTGTTTGGGGATTTTTAGCAGTATGTTAGCTTGAAAGTACTTGTGTACATACTGTTAGATTTAGTTGCAAATAATTGTTCTCAAGTTATTGGAATAAATGCAAATGAAACAAGCCCTTGTGTAAATAGACCTCTGTGCCAAATATTGACATTGTTTCAAAAAATAAATGTCATAGTTTATGCTGTTAATTGGCAAACTGAAATATTGGGAATGTGATCAAATGATAATGTATTTTTTAGATAAATTGTTATTTTATACTGTAGTTGGCTTTTAGTGAATAAACATTCACTAAAAATGAACATTTGAAATAGAAAAAATCTTCAGAATCTTAAGAGAAATTAATAACAAAGTATTACTGGAACCACCCTCTTAGCCTTTTAAATGTTTAAATGTTTACAAAAGAAGGTAATCATTTACATATTAAGGGGAAAATTAGTTCTTTTAAAAATATATTGATACTTTTCCATGAATGTTCATTAGCATCAGACTA